TTGAAAAGCAGGAGAAAGAGGAGGGGGGAAAATCATCACTGCAAACATGAAAGCACCTTGCCTTGCACATATGTGACAAAAGCAAACACAGTGTTCACTGTCTAAAATTAATGGGAGTATATGGGAATGACACACATAAGTCCTACTTCATCCAGGAGTGCAAAGTTATGTTTGTCTAAGACTTGACCTCAAAAGCCAACCTATGCAGCACAGTGTCAGCTGAGCGCAAAGAAAAAAATGCATCTTATATTGTGTGCTTCTTAAGAAAGGAAATGTAAACCCATGTGGTATTGTGATTGTAGAACATAAATGAAAGCATTCAGCATAGTATAGCAAAGGGAAACACTTTGTGCTATGTAACTCCTGCCTATTTATTCATGGGAAAACTGGCATTCCATTGCTGACTGTACCAGCCATGGCTGCAGGTCCTGAAGTTCAGATGCTTTGCCATAAACCCTTGCTCTGTAGCTGAATCTCCAGGAGAACAAGGCGTGGAGCGCATGTGCCACGGCATGCACGGCACTGTAGATGCTGTAGCTGTGGCCAGTCATCTGCATTTCAAAAAATTGCCCAAGCAGGGTCTCCAGCCTCTCCTTTCCAGTGCATGCTCCCACAACCTTGTAAGGCACCCATGGGTCTGGAACCACACAGTCAAATGTTTCCTCCCAGAACTCCTCCAGAAAAGCATCTGCTTGTTTCCAGTCTGGATTTAGCATCTGAAGAGCTTCCTGGAACCCAGGAAGGGTATTTGAGTGAATAGAGAAGGCAATGGCACCATGGAAAGCATGCAAATCCAAGTCCCTGTGCATGCTGGCCAATACAAAATCAATCTGGGGTGTTATGATCCACACCTTTCCAACCAATATAGGTTGCTCAGATGAAGTATCTTCTTTATGATGTATAAAATACCATATGTACATCAATGTGTAAGTTTCACCATAGATGACAAATACTCTGGATTTCCTGAAATTGATCTGTTCAAACATAGCATGGGCCAGAGCAATCCCTTCTTCATTAGATATATGGTATACTTGGGCAGGAATCCGTCTTGTGAAGTCGGCACAGATTCCATGTGTGGAAAACAGAGTTTCCATGGCCTGCAGGAAAAACTCTCCCTGATCACCCTCCACCACAAAAAGCCCAACCCAGGTCCATCCAAAGTGCTTAAGCAGACTGATAATTCCCAGATGTTGGTGGTCTTCAGCTGGGACCATGCGGTAAAAGGGAGGAAGGGCCACCATCTCTTTGCTTGATGCAAAGGACCCATATGTTAGCTGAAAGCAGTCAAAGGACATTTAAGAAGAAGGCTAAAATGTGCAAAGATATACTTTATCTACCTGTTGAAGATAGAACCACCTGAAGAGGTAGGACATGAAGCAGTAACAAGTGTAGGACAAAATATTGATTATACACTATGCCCAGACATTTATTTGCCCATGAGGGGCTATGTCAGCTACTTCTACTAGGACTGCATTGATTGTACATCTCTTGGATGTTAAGCTATTCTATATTTTTATACTGCATTTATAAAGGTAAGAATCTTACACCAAATTTTTAGTGCATTTCTATTTTTATTGCACTGTTTTCTTTTTGGATTAATTGCAGACAACTGTGCAGAGAGATTTGTCTGTTGGATAGTGTGGAAATACATGGATGGATCAACTAATAGATAAGACACTTTGCATTACTTTGATATTCTTATTTCTGGGCTTTGAGTGTAATTTTTGAGGTGGCCACTTAAAAGCTGCATAGTTTTGAAAGAACATCTTCCTTCCTTCCTTCCACTACATTTCAGTTGATCCAGAAACATCACTTTTCCTTTTTCTGCTTCCCAGACTTTAAAAAACAGGGCCATACAAGCAAGTCAAATGGGCGTAACACACAGGATAAGACAAACCCAGAGATGCCCTGCATTGGAATCCTG